TCCTGGTCACTCCTAAAGAGAACCTCAACATCTTCATCTCTGCCTCTTGTCTTTTCCTCACTGCTACAGTCTCTAACCCATACAGCATAGCTGGTCTCACTACTGTCTTGTACACCTTTCCTTTGATTCTTGCTGCCACTCTTCTGTCACACAACACTCCTGACACCTTTCTCCACCCACTCCAACCTGCCTGCACTCGCCTCTTCACCTCTTTCCTACACTCCCCATCACACTGGACTGTTGAGCTCCATCATCACACACGGAATTCACTCTCATTGGAACAAAAACTATTTCTTGCACAATTGAGATAAATTAAACATCTATAACTTTTAATCACTTCTTTATGATAGTCCAATATACTGTTTAGGCCTGTTTGCCCACTGATTTCATTGTGACCAGCCTGTTTCCTTTATCAGTTTTATGCAATGTACCGTAACATGCGTACTTTAAGAACAGAAATATACCAAATATCGTGGATTGAACATGTTCATCAAATTTCACAAATGGAGGAGATCAAACCTTGTTTAAATGAACAAGTGTGCTCATTATCGCATAATTTCACCAATAGAGATTTTGATACTTGTTATAGATTCATTCATTCATTCATTTTTTACCGCTTAGTCCCTGGACGGGGTCACGGGGGTGCTGGAGCCAATCCCAGCCGGCAATCGGGCGAAGGCGGGGTACACCCTGGACAGGTCGCCAATCCATCACAGGGCTAACACAGAGACGAACAACCACACACACGCACACACACACACTCCTATGGGCAATTTAGAGACACCAATCAACCTAAGCTGCATGTCTTTGGACTGTGTGAGGAAGCCGGAGTACTTGTTATAGATTATTTGCTAAAAGTGAAGTCCCAGTGTTACTACAAACTAAGCACGCTAATGTCCTTTTCAAGTTGAAGTTTTGTTGTTTGTTTTGTTTTTTCTCCCAATAATGAATCTCTGCCCCCATAGGCTCATATTTCTAAGACTGCCATATGTGAAAAAATAAAGGCCACTGCAGGCTCTCAGCTACACCACAAGAGGGCAGCAGAGGCCTGTTGATCTAAATTCACAACGCATCAAATACAACCAACAGAACGATCTCTCTTCATATATATACTGTATGTATTAACAGTGTACACTCAGGTACCAGACCAGTAACAAATCCTCCCTTCATAGAGGTTAAGTTTCTGCTCAAACTGTTTCAGATAGGTTTTAATTCTGCTGTTGAACTGTATTGTTTTAAACTAATATTTATCAATGAGGCTAGGCTAAATAACAGAAAAACACATCTTTGTATAATGCAGGACAGTTCAACAGCAGCACAAGTTGCAGCCATATTCAGCCATACAGTGTCTTTGTCTTTATATCTCTCTTGCCCTATGAACTCCATATGCAGGAAGTGCTCACTCATGTCTCTCTCTCTCGCCTCTGGTCCACTTCTGCTCTTACTTCTTCATTTCTCTTTTTTTGTCTCCCCCTTCCTCATATTTTATTCCCCCTCCTATGTGATTAAAAGGGTGAGGGGGGTTGTATTTGGTGACTGGGCTGGCCCAGCTCTGCGGGTTAGGTGTTTGGTCTGCCAGTTCTAAATGACTGTGCCTGGCCCAATGAAAGGAGCCAGTGAGGCGGATGCCAGTCTGACCCCAGTGAACATTATTATCCCTGTCAACAGAGGCCATACAATGACTATGCCCAAAGGTAATTGGGACCAAATAAAAGCTGCTGCTGAGCCTCCATAGAAACTTCTATAGAAGCTACTATGTCTATGTGAGTGAGTGTGGATGCTGGAAGAGGGGGTGAATGAGTTTGACTGAACTGGTTACTGTACTGGTATCACCCAGAAGTGGAAAGTAACTGAGGACATCTACTCAGGGACTGAAGCACACTTTTGAATTAATGGCCAGTGTTTTTATTTTGATTACTGATAATTACTGTTGCTCCATTAGGTTTACTCTTAGAGGGAAATGCTGAATTTTGTCTGTGCCCCATTGCCCCTACATTCACTTCATTGAATCCGATGGTGGTACTTAGCAATGCAAAATTTATGATGAGCTCATAAAGTGTAATAGGTAACAGTCAGTGTTTAAACCAGTTATAGATGGACATACTGACAGCATTTTGTGACAAATACCATAACATCCTATACTAGCTTCATATGTACAGTACTTTCATTCTTTGTGTGCAATGGCTATTTTTGATATTTTATTTAAATGGCTATTTTTACACCTTTGTCTTATTATAAAACATCTTAAAATGGTTTACAAATGTAGTAAAATACAGTACAAGTTTGGACTAACAGAAAATAAAAGCAATACTATATTACAGTATCAGAGTCAAATCATCAGAGATAAGAGTATCTTGAGCAAATATTGAGCATACCTCCACATCAGCATCCACTATCAACAAGATAATAGTACACTCAATATCAGAAGATGAACATTTTGTAATACAGGTAATAAGTGGTGTCTGAGCACAGAGGTAGCTTTTGTTGAAAACTATAAAGCCAAACAATATGTCTGTGTCATAATGGGGAACTTTTGTGCTTCCTTTTAACTCTAATGTCAGAGGAGCACATGTGTGAGTATGTGAGAGACTTTGGAAGCTAATTGCTTGGCTGATGTTTGCACATGCACACATACACAAACACAAACACATACAGTAGTAGCTTATGTGTGGAAGACATGCCTCTTCATTAGGTTCATCTATTTTTGCCCATGCCCCTTAGAAAGTCACACCACTGAGTGTGAGACAGACTGAAGGGTACGCGATGTGGTCACTGACCTGAAAGGTACACATTTCATAGAGTTCCTGTGAAAAAGGTTGCTGTGTCTATGCAGGATGTGTTCTATGCTCCTAGACATACACTAAGGGAACAAGGTCACCAAATAACCTTAATTGCTTGGAAATCCTTTTTCTGGACTGAATTTGTGTAATTGGGGAAGATCCACCCCTTACACCTTTATTTGCACGTTATGTTTTTAAATGTTGCAATAGATGAACACCATCATCTGTTGGCCTTTCCCTCCCTGCAGATCATTTCCCATAAGAAGAGCAAGAACTAGTCTGATTAACATCTGTCGAAAGAATAGTACACGATAACCTTTTGCAGGGAGGGAAAACATTTTGCCTTCTTGCTGAGAGTTAGATGAGAAGATCAATACCATTCTTGTGAGTGTATGCTTAATATGTGGTCATGTTCTGCAGCCAGTTAGCTTAGCTTAGCATAAAAACTGGAAACATTCTTAAGCGTCATTTGCATTTTAACAGGCCAACTATCTGAGCTGACTGCTTACAATGAGACTCCCCCAGTCATGTGGAATTCAGCCACAGTTTACATAAAAGTTCTATAGATACCAGCATATCAGTGGTTGTAACGACCAGTGATCTGGAAGCTCTTACACAATGCAAAGCCTCTTGGATTTGTAAATATATCATTCAGATAAGTTTGTCAGAAAGTCCAGTGGGAAATATTTTACTCTTGTTCATGTGTGATTTAGGTTTCTGCAGATTTGGCTTCTATACTCACATGGTTCTCATACTGGCATGCTGCCTTGTACAGCCACGGGCCAGTTTAAGCTTTTAGTGTGCACAAAGGTGAAAGGAGATCCCAGTCTGAATGTGTCTAGCATTTGTCAGAGAATGTCGGTAAAGTGGTCACTCACATCCTGTTTTGATAACGTTGGGAGGGGAGCTGTCATGTGATTAATAAATTACTCTGAGTGTTTATGCAATGATCTAAATCTATGAACAGGCTCAAAAAGACAATATGCACCAGGAATGAAACTATGGTATATTGCATTTTGCAAGTATGTTTTTATAATCTAAAACAGGATTAATCTCTTTGATTCATTGATTTCACACATCAGAGACAATATTGTTTACACCGCCTTTCCTTTATTGGACTATTCTGTGATTTGTGATTGTACCTTTTTAAACAATTTCACTTCATCAAACTAACAATGTTGTAGTAATTTATTCAAGTTTAAGCAGCTGATGCATGAAAAAATGTGACCTGAATAAAGGAGTGAGAGGAAAAACTACTTCACTTGTTGAGGCAGCAGAAGAAATCCCTGCTACCTTTGGCCCAGAGAATCCCCCCGAGATTGCGTTGCTTTGTCTTATATATGTAACAGCGAGAACCAATTAAGTGAATTACGTCTGGAGCCCTAACAGGAAAACCCAAGGGGAGAATGAGAACACAACTGCTCTCCCACAGGCAAATTCCCCTCATCGCGCTCCTCCTCACCACATCCCTCACCTACAGTAATTACCTTTATTTCCTGTACTTTTAACATCTTGGCACCTCCTTACCTTTCTCCTGCTGGATGCACACTGTGGTGAGGAGGTGAGAGGTCTATCACAGTAACAACCTTAGTCTTCCTTAAAAACCACGTTCCTTTCTTTTTCCCTTTAATGAACATGCCTGACAGTCCAGTCCCCCACCCTT